GCCTAGTACTGAGAAGAGACTTTTCCTGGGGTCTCTCCCTGCTCTGCCAGTGTTGCTCTGAATCCCTTGTCTGGCCTCTCCCTCTTTTTCTGCACCTTAAAGTGCTTATTACTCTCTGTGTTGAGCCATGACTCTTATCTGCTTTTTCCTCTCACTGGAAGTGGAACAGCTCCTCAAACAAATAAGTCTCTCCAGGACTCTGTGTCCAGGTTTAGATTTAAACTTTGGTATTAAAACTAGTGGTTACTAAACATAAGCACTTCAAAAGTCATTATCCAGCTTTCCCAAGTGTTGTGTGCAGGACGTAGCGAGCAGCCCTGTCTCTTGCCCTCCATTCTCCTTCCTGCACGCTCCTGAAGAACCACCCTCCCATCGCTTCTAGGAGAAGGTGTCTTAGCAATAAGGCCACAGTGGGCAGGATCCCCACCCCTGGCATGCCCAGTGGTCTGCTCTCTGAAGAAAAGGGGGAGCTTTACTGAAGTGAAACTTGAGTCACACTCTGAAACCAGGGGAACCACTGTTGACAGAGGAAGATCCCAAGCATAGGGGAAGTTCTGGGTTATGAGGCCACAGCCAAGGAAGGAACCACCAGGAGTTTGTAGAATTCCCCTTTGACTGGAGAAACCTTTACCTAGATCACCATCCACCAACTGCCTCATTGGTCCCATTCATTAGTCTTTTTTTTAAGATTCTTTTTTTTTAATTTATATGTATGGGTGCTTTGCCTGCATTCATGTTTATGTATTATGTGTGTGCAGAGCATGCACGTCCCCCCCAAAAAAAAGGGCATGAGATCCCCTGGAACCAGAGTTGTGGATGTTTGTGAGCTGCCATGTGGATGCTGGGAATGGAACCTTGGTCCTCTGCAAGAGCTACAAGTGCTCTTAGCTTTTGAGCCATCCCTCCAGCCCCAAAGTTACCATTTCTGGAACATCCATTTTGTGCCAGGCATCCTTCTGGATGCTAGGAACACGGAAAGACTGAAACAGAAGAGCTTCCTAGTGGAGCTCCTTGCTCAAGAGATTTAACAGTACAATGGCTTCCTTTTACTGATGAGGAAACAGACATTTGGAAAGATACATGCCATTGATGCATGTCCCTGACAGTGACTAAGGAAGCAGGATCAAAAGAGGAAGCGATTAGACTCTTCTGGTGTTCTTTCCTTTGTAGGTCTCAACTTCCTGCCTGTTCCATCTGCATGTCATGGGCTTTCTCCCTTTAAAAAAATAACCATGTCCAAGTCTAGTCCCCATGGTCTCAGACTGTACTCTTCTTTGGAATAGGGTCACTACAGATGTAATTAGCTGAGATGAGAGCACCCTTGAGCAGGTCAGCACCTAATCTATCATCTCAGGAGTCCTCACAAGATGGAGATGTAGAAAACGCAAGGCAAGAACTCCCTGGAGTGACGAAGGAGGTAGGGGACTATGGGGATGAAACCCATCAAGGACCCCTAGTGACACCAGGAACTACACAAGTACATTCTCCCTAGAGCCTCCCAGACAGCAAATCCTGTTTCCGCTTCTCCCATAGTGCCTCATCTTCTGGTGTCTGAATGAGGTCCTGCCCCCCTCTTGCCATCTACGGCTCCTTATTGCCACATCCAAGACTGCCTGTCTCCCACAGCTGACAGAGCCGCCTTTCCTGCCAGAGCCCTGCAAGGAAGCAACCCCAGAAAGAATTTTGTTGTTTTGCTCTATTGTTTATTGTATTTTGCCAATTCCTTTTTTTTTTTTTCTTCCAAGACAGGGTCTCAACTAGATAACTCTTGGCTGTCCTCTACCTCCTGAATGCTGGGATGAAAGGCACACACCACCACCACCACCTGGCTATTTTGTCGATTCTTTTTTCTTGGGGGGGGGGTGTCAAGACAGTGTTTCACTGTATAGCCCTGGCTGTCCTGGACCTCCCTCTGTAGACCAGGCTGGGTCTTGAACTCACAGACATCCATCCTCCTGCCTCTGTGTCCCAATGCTGGGATTAAAGGCGTGCACTATCACCACCCATTTATTTTGTCAATTCTTAATCTGCCTCTTCAGTGTCACTGATACTATGCTTCTTAACATAGTTTGTGTGCTTGCTGCATTATGTGCTGTTACATTTATCAATCTTATTTTTCAAATTGGTTCCTAGGAATTTTAGAACAGGCCTTGATGTAGAAGAATTGTGAGTGTCAGAACTATAAATATTTACGAACAGATTTGCTTAGGAGACATTAAGTCACCCTAAGTAGAATTTAGTTAAGAGGCACGGGCTCCACAATACAACAAAGATAAGAAGTGTGCTAACCAGGTCTGTTTGAGGTCAGTGAAATTTAGGATGTTAGGATCCTAATGTTTGTTTACAAAGACAGATCCCCAATTAGGCTCCATTCCCATAACAAAAGGAGAAAACTCTGAATTACAAATGGCCACTAGGCTCATCCTCATATCAAAGAACATGATAAGTGCAGCACAGGTTACAGGCATCATTAGGTCCTAGCCCTGCCATTAAGTCCCCTGTGCTCTTATCCAGAAAAAGCATAATTCTTCCAAGTGGGCAAGATGACCCCAGGTAACAACTGTTGGAAAAGTATAACACTGGTATACTTAAGTAAGTCTGGCAATATCTTTGCTGTGTAAATCTCCCATCTGCTAAGTGGCCAGACTTGCAGTCTTATGTCTCTGTTTAAACCATTCAAAGTGTGAACTGGGACTGAACCTAAACTTAAGGATGACAATGTGTGTGGAATGCACAAGCCTAAGGTGTGTATGGACCACTAAAACCATCTATTTATGACTGGCTCCTCTACAGGCACTGGCAAGTGCTGGACACGTGCTATGCTAAAAATGCCCCCCCCCCACTTCATTGATCTCTAAATGTGCAGAGTGACTTCTCCCTGAGAAGGCATATTAATATTAATTCTAGAATAGTACCAGTCACTTCTTTGGATCATTTCATACCCTGTAGTAGAGGGTCTTTGGAACTGGTAAACACAATCAAATACAACAAATGTACGGTGGGTGAGATGACTCAAGGGTGATATGCTTGGGGGGCCCAACAATCAGAGTTTAATCCCTGGAACCCATGTAAAGGTATAAAGAGAGAACCAACAGCACAAAGGTGTCCTCTGACCTCCACATACACACTATAGCACAAGCATGCCCAGTAACAACAAAAAGAAAGACAAGAGAAATGATTCCCTGTCTGAGGTGGGGGTGGGGCATGCTGTAGACCTGGGCGTCTTACCTTTCTTTTAAAAACTCTTCAAATTCCTTGCAGTTCTTGCGGCCATTGTTCAGATGCTGGATGATGCTGTCATAGCCGACAGTGCTGAGAATGTCCGTGCTCTGAGGAATGAACAACATGGCATCAGACCAGGAATAAGCATGAAGAAGGAAGGGATGCGTGGGGCAGAAGGGGCAGGAAGCCGCAAAGGTACTTCACTGAATCACTTTTATGAAAACACATGACCCAAGAGAGCACAGACCAGAAGCAAAAATGAACAGCTCAGAAGAAGAGTTAAAATGATGAAACTGAAGAGTCACAAAACAAGGACAAGACAGGCATCGAGACTTAAGGATGAGGGGTGAGGCAGACTCAAGTCCCTCTTTGGGCCTCCACTCACCCTTAAGTCAAGACAAGAGAGATGGCTCAAGGCTCCTACTCCTGCCTCTTGCTGTGTGCACCTTCACATTGCTTGGCAGAAACTACCTCAGGCTACCAGGCCGTGGTGGGGGCACACAAAGATGGATCTCTGTGAATTGGAGGCCAGCCTGGGCTACAGGTTGAGTTCCAGCACAACCAGGGCTGTTACACAGTATGTGGTGGTTTGAATGTAATCGGCCCCATAAGATCATAGGAAGAGGCACTATTCGGAACTGTGACTTTGTTGGAATAGGTATGGCCTCCTTAGAGAAGTGTGTCACTGTGGGGGTGGGCTTTGAGGTTTCCTAGGCTCAAGATACCACCCAGTGTCTGAGTCTACTTCCTGTTTAATTTTTAAATACATTAGTAAACACAACGTGAAGATCTGACAATTACCCAACAAGAGCATGACATCACAGGGAAAATCTGTGGTGTGCCAATATTCTCTTCCTGGTCCATGGAATTCCCTGGAGAATCTACCAAATTTGGTTCCTACTCTTGTCCTGTAAGTGTGAGGAGGCAGGCAAGCACAGAGAAGCAGCTCCTCTCCAAACTAAAATAAAGTATCCATATGTAAGACCACGGGAAAGACAGAGATAGAGTGGTGGAAGGAGGGTTTTAACTGCTTTAGGCAATAGGGCCCATTTTATTTTCATCAGGGGTTAAACAACATTCAGTTTGTCCTTAAACCTGCCACCAAAGACCCTGACATCTCCTCCCACAGCCAGTTAGTCTTGAAGGACTGCAGAATAGCCACAAAAGGCAAGCAGTCCTGAACCACAAGGCATGAGTAAGAAGGTAAGCCACAGAGTGGAAGAAAGTGGCCATTGGCCCGATGGAATCATGAAAGGAAGACTGGGCCAGCATTGCTGCACAGAGTTCCTGGCCCTAGTCTGGGGGAAAGAATATTCAATTTTTAATTAGCAACTTCACTACCCCCTCTTCAATATAGTATTTACATTTTCATTTGCAAAATCCAAAGCCAGTTTCTCAACTCTCAGGCTTTCTGAGACTCCTTTCTGAGTAGCACAGTTCCCTCTTCTGGGTTCTCAGACTTTGGTGCTATGTATTGCTCACACAGATTTCTGTCCCATCTCTATTGAACACTCCTAGAATTTTGTTCAACACCATCACCATTCCTGTACCCCTCACAGAAAAATCTCCCTTAAGGTTATGCACTTCACAGGCCTACAGCAGAAATGTGCAGGGTGAGATGTCTCCCACAACCCCATCCAAATACACAAAAACAGAACAATGAAACAAAGCCCCCTGGGGAAGTGAACAAAGGAATAAAAAGGCTCATTGTCTAAGTCATTGTAGACACACGTCTCCATTCCTACCCATCAAGCATGCTAGACTTCTCTGCACCATGACATCTGGGAGGTGGTTCCACTTTTCTTAATGAAGGGTACAAATAGTTTAGGTCTGGTGGGGCAAGGAAACTAGAACAGAGTTTCCTGAAAACACAGACCTCCCAGCTGCCAGGCTCAGTGACAAAACAGAACAGCTGCTCAGTCACTCTGAATTGGTGAAGAAAGGAAAGCAAGTAAGAACTAAGAAAAGAGATTCCCAGAAAAAGCAAAGCACCCAGCACCAGGTCCAAAGCGTCGAGATACTGGCCTATGCTAGTCAGAGAGCATGAGTACTAAATGAAGGACAGAAATAACAGTGGAAGAGTGAAGCAAAACAGAGCAATGCACATGCAACCAAAGACATACCAAGACACACAGCACCAAGGGAGAGAGCCCAGAGAGAGAGAGCTCAGAGGGCAAAATGCCTGCTTCACACCAAAGTGTGAAGAACTGAGTTCAGTTCAGGCACACACATGAAAGTCAGGTGTCGCAGCACGTGCTCATAATCCCAGAACTGAGGAGGTAAGGACAAGCAGATCCCTGGAGCTTGTAGACTACATACATAGCAAGCTCCAGTAAGAGACCATCCCAGTGAGAGAGTATCTCAAGTA